AGTACTGCCTGAAGAATCATTTTAACTAAGCAAATGTCTGAACATCTTATTCTGGAAAAATAGAACATTTAATAAGTCTATATTCACTTGGCTGACAATTTCATCTTTCCAAAAGTTAAGGGGAAAAGCTATTATGTCTTTATTCTGACTCAGAAGGTAGAATGAGTTGGTTTTTTTTTTTTTTTAAAGGGACAGAACCTTGGGCAAACATGATCATGGAATTTTAAGAGTTTATAAAGAGCATAATAAAGATAAATTTCAAAAAGTTCAGAGAAAGCTAGGGATGATACAATGGCCTGAGACCTTAAAAGGGAAGGGGCCCTTCTAAAACTAAAATATGATAGCTAATTACAATTCTTCAGGTAGGGAAGAGTAAAAAATATCAAAATCTCAGCTAGCAGATTAATTCTCATGGGTAGGCAGGCATGATTTATCAATCTCAGCTTTCCTGTTAAGCCCAATCTCATTCTTGAATTCTCTTTTACCCAGAACTATAGTCAGCCACAGTGAATTGAGCAAAGTTGGGACACAGGAAGAAACCCACTTGCCACTCTCTGGTGTAACAACACAGGGAAGCCCTGAAACTCAAATTATGAAAGGACAGGTACAAGAAATGTAAGGTGGGGCACAAAATTCAACACAACTCCATAGTGGAATGGGCCCACATGAACGATGGCAAAAGGGCAAAGTCTAGAAGGTTCTGAGGCTCCTTTATTTATAGAAAAACAAAAACAAAATTTCTGTTTTTCTAAGAATTAAAATAAAGGAGGGGAGGGCTTTAAAAAATATGAGATGCAGGTGTCTCTGCTTGGGGAAATAACACAACATAAACAAAAAAAGCTGAGTTCTTCAACTTCTGGGTTTAGTTCCTGCAGTGGATTGAATGGCCCCCCCAAAGTCATCAAAGCTTAATCCCCACTGTAACTGTTTACGGTGGAAAATCCTATCATGGTAATTGAAAGGCAGGGCCTTGAAGAGGTGATCCATTCCTAGTGAGTGGATTAATAATGGTGGTCATGGGCGTGGTTCTGAGGGCTTTAAAAGGACAGCACGTGAGAGTCTCTTTCTCTGTTCTCTGCCAATCTGCCACGTGAGACTCCTGCATTACTGTCACCACCAAGGCCTTCACCAGATGTGTTCCCTGGACTTTGGACTTCCCAGCCTCTGAAACTGTAAGCAATAAATTTTGATTTCTTACAAATTACCCAGTTCCAGGTATTTTGTTATAAGCAACATAAATGGACTAATACAGTTCCATATCTTCATCAAGAAGAATGATCTTCACCAGGAAATGGAGAACCACCTTGGTTAAGAGAGACTTAAATTCCAAGACAGGGATGAAGAATGGAAAGCCCAAGCCTCCTGTGGCTGAGCTTCAGGCCCAGCTATCTGCGGCCCCAGGGAGTTAAGGGAACTTGGAGATGGCTCTAGGAACCTCTTGAGCGATCTTTGAGGACTCAAAGAGAACAAGAAAAAGATCAGAATATTAGAGACTGGCAAAGAGCATCCTGATTTTCAAAGAAGGGGACAAACAGACTCCATTAGCCCTAAGACTGGAGAGCCTACCATCAAACTCTGCAAGAGGCTAAGCTACACTGTTAACTTGGCAGATTTCAGAACATACAGTAAAGTATGCACCAAGAAAAAGCAAATCACTCAGTAGAAAAATGGGAAGAGTATAGGTACAGGCAACTCACCGAAGAGTAAATACTAGTGGCCAATAAATATAAAAGAACCCTTCCATGATGAAAATATACATTAAGATAACAAGATACTATTTATGCAGCAGGTTATTAGAAACTAAAAGACTACTAATATCAACTATTGGCAAAGATGGAGGAAATGACATTCTCACAAGTGGAACATATGGCTTTCTTTATAGAGCAATTTGGAGACATTGATTAAAATAAAAAATGCTTTGTGTTTTGACCCAGTGTGAAAGACTCACAAATGCAGAGGCTTGTAGAAGGTTTTTAAATACAAGACTGTTTATAACAGTAAAAGATTACAAAAATTTTTTAAAACTGTCCAAGGTTTGGCACATGCTTAACTATATATTATGGTACATCTATACAATGGGATACCATACAACAGTCAAAATTAAAGATGATCCATACATACTGGTATTGAATGATCTCTAAGATGTGAACACTCATGCTTTAAAAAAGCATGAAAGAAGCCTATATGTTTCTATAAGTGCATATATGTATATAAATGAATAGAAAATAGTTTAAAAGGATACCAATTAACCTGATAACAGAGATAACCCTGGGAAGGTGATTTGGAGTATCTTTGCCTTTCTGAATTTTTTACATTAAGAATACCTTCATCAATTGTATAATTATAGACTGATGGGGTTTGGATGTATTGTCCTCCCAGAACTCATGGAAATCAGATCTCCCATGTGGCAGTTTGGGTCACGGGGGCAGATCCCTCATGAATGGATTAATGGTCTCCCTTGGGGATGGGGGATTAATGAGTGAGTTCTCACTCTATTAGTTCCTGTGAGAGCTGGTTGTTTTATAGACCATGGCACCTCCTCTCTCTCTCTTGCTTCCTCTAGCCATCTGATCTGCTTGTACCTGCCAGCTGCTGCCACTTTCTGCCATGAGTAGAAGCAGCCTGAGGCCTGTGCCAGATGCAGCTGTCCCAGAATCATAAGCCAAATAAACCTCTGTTCTTTATAAATTACCTAGTCTCAGGTATTTCTGTTATAGTAACACAAAATGGACTAATACATACATATACATACATACACACATGAGGGTACTTCAAAAAGTTCATAATAAGTTTCGTATTTTTTTTTTCCTTTTTGTCTTTTTTCGTGACCGGCAACGGATCGCAACCCTCAGTGACTAAAAACATAACTTTAATAATAGTTCAACTCTTCCAGCTAATATCTGAGTATAAGCTTTATGTTATGCTCTGTTAATGTCAAATGGAAAAAACTGAATGGGGGGAAATGTCAGTAATTTGGAGAGATGGTAGCAGGGTTACAGGTAGGGTATAAAATGTTGAAACATCTTTGCAAAGCTGTTTGGAAGGCCCTAGATTCGTATTTTTTTAATTCTATTTTTCCATGAACTTTTTGAAGTACCCTTATATATATATATATATATATACTACTTTTTTTTTTTTTTTTAAAGAATGAAAAACAGACTAGGAAACAGTAAGCATTAGGAACCAGTATGTGCACTAAGAGAAGACATGTCAAATTTACCCAGTTTCCTTCTCCTGAGATGACAAGGGAAATGCCACTGACACCCTGAACAGATGCCTGCAGGCTATTGACAGAGCCTTTCATATCATCACCAGGAACACAAGAGAAAAATTCAGGCTTGATGACAATGCTAGGGGGCAGAATCAAAATTGACTGCATAGCCATAGTTAAGAGTTACTGATTCAGGACCCATAAGAAAATTGCTAAGATGGCCTTTGATCCTGTCCTGCTCAACATATTCATTAATTTATTCTTTCAATCTCTCATTCACTCACTCACCAGACATTTGAGGGCTTACTATCTTCTGCACAACATCTGACACAAAGATGATCCCTGCCTGAAGCCTAGGATACTGAAAAGAAGATGGGGTGGGTGGGGCAGTGGGAAAAAATGCTCGGACTGAGGTGTTATGGAAGCTCCAGAGAGTAGGGCCTGACCCCAATCTGGCCTCTTGAAGGAGGTCACTATCTATATACAAATGGTCGGTTCACCTCAAAAAAGACAGTATGAAGCTAGAAAGTACCACAAATACCAAAAATCACATACACACGAGTTGGAAAAAGATGACAAGCTAAACACACCATGTAAAATCCATTTCCAGTCACTGAAAAATCCTGCCCTTAGGTTGCTGGAGAATACCCCTTAGTTTTGAGGCCTCACTGAAAGAACACTGTCATAGAGGCCTCTATCCAGAGTAAGGTGCTAATGGAGTTTGGATGTGTTGTCCCCTCCAAAACTCATGTGGAAATTTGATCTCCAATGTGGCAGTGTTGGAAACTGATTGTGTCATGGGGGTGGATCCATCATGAATGGATTAATGCTCTCCCTGGGGGAGGAGGGGTAGTGAGTGAGTTCTTGCTCTATTAGTTCCCGCGAGAGCTTGTTGTTTATAGGAGCCTGGCACCTCCTCTCTCTCTTGCTTCCTCTCGCCATGTGATCTGCTCATAGCCACCAGCAGCCTGCCACTTTCCACCATGAGTAGAAGCAGCCTGAGGCCTGTGCCAGATGCAACCGTCCCAGAATCGTAAGCCAAATAAACCTCTTTCCTTTATATATTACTCAGTCTCAGGTATTTCTGTTATAGCAACACAAAACGGATTAATACAGGTGCCCAGTTAGGGAAGAGTGGGGCCCATGTCAGACAAGGACTAGTTATAGCTACACCCTGACTTATTCAGGGCTACTCTGGGTCCCCAGTTCCACTCATATTTCCCCTCTGCTTTCTCCCAAGAAATTGCCTACAGCCAACAGACTCAGGAATTTCAAGATCCCTGACTGTATCCTTGGTTGGACCACTCAAAGGAGAGGATAGGTGGAAGAACATGCCAGGCCAGCCCAGCAACATGGTGGGCAGTCTGCAGCATACTTTCACTTGGCAAGACCTTTCTCACTTGCCCTCTCCCTCGTTTCCAACCTGGTGCCCAAAGTTGTCCCTTCCATCACACATCAGAAGGGAAAAACTGAGAAGCATACATATGCCAGGGTCCATGGCCATGTATCCTGGGCAGTCATTTCACCCCTTCAGACCTTAGTGTTTCTGTTTAACAAAGAAAGTGGACTAGATAACTTCAGAGGACCTTCTAGCTCTGACAGGCAACATGTGTTAGCCATGTATGCATTCTTCTCCTGGAAGCATTCATTGTTGAAAAGGATTTCAAAGAAAGGGCAATGCTCAATACAAGTGAGTGAACAGGGGAATTTCAGGCACTCACAAGGATTTATTTGGGTCCCCATACTAGTGTAGGAAGTGCTCTGGCAGGGACCCTCCATCAGGACTGACCTCTTCAGTGATGATCGAGACAGCACCTGTGCAGCCTGGTTCATGGCCCTGACCCAGGCATTCATGTCCTCCTGGGTATCGGCACTGAAGTAGTAGGTCCTCATGCCTGACTGCTCAGCCTGAGAGCCCACCGTTGTGCTGTTATAGATGAGCGCTCGCATCCCCGTGTGCACGGCCTGTAGCATGGAGACAGAAAACCAGGTCAGAGAGAGGAACACACATCCCCTTCTAGGAGCAAAACCAAGGAGGCACTCTGGCCACGTTCTCCCCACTTGCAGACTAAAAGCCCAAGCACCACCCAGCTTGCTTCTACACCTGGAAAATGTCACAGGCTAGATTTCTCTTTCTTATTGCAGTCAGGCCCAGTGATAGCTTGTCTGTTCCCCACTGTAAAGCCCTGCAGCTGTACCTCTTTCCTATTTATCTTATTCCTGCTTAGGGGGTGCAAAGTGTCAAGACTTATGTGAGAAACAGACTTAAAAAAAAATTCCTCATTCTACAGAAGCAGACTCTTGAGAATCCCTGTTTTGGTTCTTCAGAAGCCTGCGATTCCTGCTTTGGCTAAAATCAGACAAGAACTGAGTCAAAATCAGCTTGATGCAAAAACAGCAGGCAGCTTGGTGCGGATGTTCACTGTGCTTCAGTGTTTGGGCATGAAATGCAATGTGTGCCCAAAGAAGTTGTTGTTCTGTCTCTTGAAAAGAGGCACGACAGAGTTGGATAGATGTGACCAACATTTGACTAAAAATTCTTGTGCACCTACTATGGGCTTCTACCTCAAGGTACTTTTACATGTGTCCTTGCAAAGAACTGGGAAGAGGTACTGGGAATGACCACTGAAAAGAAACTGGGATGGTTTGCAAATTGGAGGCAGCACAGTTTTTCTCTGTGCACTAAGTAGGGGCCTCTCTTCTAAATTTGCAAGGAAAGGGCCGGCCCGGTGGCGCACTGCTGCAGTGCGCCGCTTGGGAGCATGGTGGCGCTCCCGCCGAGGGTTCAGATCCCACATACAGACCAGTTCCCGCTCACTGGCTGAGCGAGGTGTGGGCGCAACACCGAGGGTTGCAATCCCGTTGCCGGTCCCGGTCCGGTGCGGGCGCGACGCTGAGGGTTGCGATCCGTTGCCGGACACGAAAAAAGACAAAAAGGAAAAAAAATAAATAAATAAAATTAAAAATAAAAATAAAGAGCAGAAGATGCTTATCTTAGTAAGAGGGAAAAAAAAAGAAGAATCAACGATTGAGGAAGGTCATTAGTAGTTCTACTGTCTCCCATATTTTAGACAGTTTACCAGGAGAAGGTAGAAGCCATATTTGTAAAGATTTCCTTGGGAGAATTATATTCACAATTATTACCCAGGTTTACATAGCAAATTCAGTAACAAAGTAATGGGCATATGATGAAGGTCATTTTCATTAACTTTATCTCCATCTGTAGTTTCATTTAGGGTTTCTATTCTCCAATCTCAATTTTACTTGTAGCCGAATGGTGTAAAAAGAGGAATATTTACTGAGTGCCTACTATGTGTCTCCTAGGTACTTCTACAACTTTAATCTCATTTTAATCCCAACAGCTTTGAGAAGTAGGGACAGAATCTGTTTCATAGATACGGCAAACAAAGCTCTCAGATGCTAAGTAACTTCCTCAGATTTCCACACCCAGTAACAGATTCTTCACAGCACTTACCATTACTGAATACTATTTATTCTACATACTTGTTTATCACCCGTTTACCATCTTTCTTCTACCCCTAGAATATAAGCTCCATTACAGCAGGAACTTTGTCTTTTTTGTTCACTACTGTACCCCCAGGAACAGTGCTTGGAATACAGTAGATACTCAATAAATATTTGTTGAATGAATGAAGAGTAGAGGCCCAGGTCTGACTCCAAGTCCAGGCTTCTTTGTACAATGTTCCTAGGTCCTACCCAGAAATGAGGTTGATTATAAAGACCACTGATCCAACAATCTGAATCCAGAATGAAAAGCAGACTCTATACAAGGAACAGTCAGAGAAAACAAAATGAGAACCAAATGAAAACTGGAAAATGACATGCTTCTAGAATCACTAACGGTCATAGATGATAACCTTTCAGATGAACCTTCATAGATGAAAACCTTTCAGTTGAACCTTCAGCATTTACTTTTCCACTCAATATCAAGGTTCAAAAATGCATATTAGATTTGGGCTTCTTCTGGCAGTCACATATCTGAGTCCATCCAGCCCAGTGCCAAGGGAGTCTTGGCAAACTTGGCCTGCAGCCAAGAGTTCCTACAGCAGCCAAAACAAACCTGATATTCTTCCTTTGCATGTATAAGGTGTCATCCCTGTCCCAGGAAGGATTCCTCTTATTTTAAGCAAGGTGAAGATATGGCAATAACAACAAAATGAGAAGGGACTTGTGCATATGTTACTATCAATTAGCAGAAATTCTTCAAAAAGTTCCCCTATGCAATGACCCATAAGATCTTGGACATAACCTCCCAGTCTTTTGTGCCCAGCCACAGAGGGCTCTGGGACAAGCACTCACCCTACCAGACACAAGCATAGGGAGCCTTCCAGGGTACAATAGAGTAAGTCCCTGCTGTACAAGAATTCATATAGCCAGCCTTGTCCAGGAAACCAATTGAACATACCTCAAACATGAAGGCACGCATTCACATGTCTGTTTGCAAACGAGCCTTAGGAGTTACATCCACCATCACAAAGGAGTTACACATGATCACAAATAAAACCCTGTTCACTAATCACACTGCCAACAGGTGCTGTGCCCAGCTGCTTTGGCTCTGAAGAACAGGTTCCCAACTCCATTCTATCTGTGCTAGAGCAAGTTAGATGTATTCAATGTGAAGGCAACAAGTACAGGAAGCCCCCTTTTCATCTGGCCAAGTGACCCAAGTCCAAAGTGCCCTGAGCCTGAGGAAGATGCCACAGCCCAGATGATGTGATCTTCTCACCTCTGCCCCAGTCTCATCTCAGAGATGGCCCCCTCCTATCTGCTTGCTCTTTGCTTTCCAGTTAACACAGCCTACTAGGCACCTCTGCATAACTGAATAGAAACCAGGCTACACCTAAAGGCTATGAGGATGTGAGCAAGGAAGAGTTTACCTCAGAAACATAATGCCCTTAGGATATAACTGCTCTCCTGGCACTTGTACCTCAGGTTTTGATACAGCCTGGTGAAGGGAGCCAGAATCCTCCCACCTCAAGCCCCCAACATCAGCCTTCAGAATAGAGAAACTTACGTGGGAAATACAGGACCTCCCCAAAGGCCAGGGCCCATCAGCTGACTGACTAATTCTCAAACTTACTCAACAATAATTTATCATTTATTAAGTGTTTACCATATGAAGGCACTGTACTAGAAGTCCGAGGGACAGCCTCAAGTAAGGCCATGACAGTTTCTACAGCCAAGTAGGAGAGAAAGACCATGGACAAGTAGCTATGACTGTAATAAGTGTTACCAAGAAGTTCAGGATGCTGTGAAAGAGGATAACAGGGGAACCTGGAAGACCTGGAGGAGGACTTATCTAAGGAACTGACACTGAAGCTGCCTTCTATGTGATAAGCAGCTATTTAAGTAGCAGTAGCAGGGAGGAGATGTGCAGGACCCCACAAAGGACAAGAGCACAGTGCATTCATCCTCAAGGATGAGGCCAGCTGGGAGAGCAGCAGGAAGTGAGCCTACGGACCAGATCACCAGGGCCTTGTAGGTCAGGTTAGGGTTTTGTCATCACTGAAAGAGCAATGAGAAGCTGCTAAAGGGTTTAAGCTGAGGAGCGATGTGATGAGATTTTGTTTGGAAAGACCACTCTGGCTTCGGTATGGAGGAGGTTAGAGGTGGCAGGAGCAGGTAAGGGGAGATGGGTCAGGGGACCACACAGGATCTCAGGTGAGAGCTGTGGTGGAGGCAGAGAAGGTGAGGAGTGGACAGAGTCTGGAGAGAAGTACAGGTAATAGCAACAGGACCAGGTGATGGAGATGGACTGAACATGAGAGGTGGGGAATGGAAGTGTCAAATTTCTCAAGTTTATGACTTGCAAAGACAGTGGTGCCCACTTGTTGAGATTAAGAAAAGGAACTTCTCGTGTCCAACCTTTGGACTGACTATATGCAGCACAGTGAACAAGGTAAGAACTTGGGCTCTTGGAATCAGCCTGAGGCTCAAGGTGGGCTCTGCCTCTTGCCCACAGGTAACCCTGGGCAAATTGCTCAACCTCCCCATGCCTCTGTTTCCTCACCTTTAAAATGGGACTGTAGGTAACAGTAGTATTTACCCTGTAAGGTCATATGAGGATTAAATGAGACAACACACATATAGTACTTAGAGCACAGCTGGCATTTATAAGGCTCAAAAGATATTTATGTTATTATAGGAGAAGTCACTTGGGCAACCTAGGGAGGTTGGCTGAATGAGCTTTCTGGAAACTTTAAGACTCTTCTTCCTCACCTCCCTGTCACTCATTAATAGGGGACTAAATATAAAATCCAAATAAGCCTGAACCCACCATAACTTGGGAAGTGTAAGCACTAATACTGACCACAGCTCCTATTACAAATGACTTCTCCGTGTTGCCTCTGTCTGCAGAACAAAACTAGCCTCACATACTCAGGCAGCACTAGCTGATGGGCTAGTTTTCCTGGTGAAAGCTCCAGATGGGCAAATCAACCATTTATAGTTCAGCAATACAGAGCAGTAGAAGTACAGGAGAAGCATACCTAGCCTGTCCAGAGGGTCAGGAAAGGCTTCCCGGAGGAGGTGACCCTGAGCAGAAACATGAAGGACAAGTAAGAGATGGGGAAAGGGCATTACAGGCTGTGGCTGAAGCTCAAGCAAAGGCCTATGGGCAAGAAACTTCCTGGGGCCTTTAGGCAACTGCGTGTGGCTGGAGGGAAGGTATAAGACAGGAGTGGCCAAATATGTGGCTGTAGAGATAAGCTGGGACCTTGTAAGCCAGGCTTTATCCTGAAGGCAGTGAAGAACACTGAAGAGTTTATGGTGGGAGTATTACCTGAGCAGACATGCAATGTAGAAACAGTGTGGAGGATGGATTGGAGGCTGCAGAGTTCAAAGGCTGAAGCACAACATGACAGCTAACACTTACAGACTACTTACTATCTACTAGGCACTGTTCTAGCAGTAAGTCACGTAGGGGAAGGATGATGGCAGCCAAG